GGGGTGGGGTGGAAAATGCTACTAATGACACCATTCTGTTTTCATGGAAGGGCTGGTATCATTTGGAATATGCACAATTTAATCAGAATTGTAAGGCTTGGGGTTTTGGTTTGGTTTTTTTTTTTTTTTTTTTTTTTTTTTTAGAAACCTTGATAACAAGTTTAATTCTGACCAAAACCACAAGAGGATGTATGACTACCAATCCTACTGGTGGATTACTGAACAGCTGTGACTGAGATTAACAGGAATTACTCCAGTGGCTTTCTCTTCAGCCAGCTGGATTCTTACATAGTACGCAGAAGCCCAATTTCATCCCATGGTAAAAAGCTTCTGCATAGGTCCAAGAGTAGCTGGCCAGTTCCTGCGTGAGCTATTTGTATACCATCAAAGGTGATTAAGTATGCAATTAAAACAGAAGTATTTCTCTGAAACCATGCAGTATTTAGCTACATTAAGACAAAAAAAAAAGTCTAACTGTGCCACAGTTTAAGCTTGGTGTTTGGGCCAGTATAGGCCTGTTCTACAAAGCAAGCATTGGAAAACTCATACCATGTAACAGAAGTGACAGCAAGAGAGGTTTTGTGTACCAGTTCACCAGTATTTCAGACTACAGAAGCATTCAAAGTATCACAGAAATTGAAAGGTATGAAATAAATGATTCAACACAAAAAATAAGAGAGAAATTATATAGATACTCAAAATGAGGTTACTGCTGAGTTCTGCATGTTCCAGAAATTTCTCTTAAGAGAGTTATACCATGTTTCCAGGAATTAAATCTACAGCAGCCTTTCAAGTATCAGTGTTACGCAACCTGACCCAAGTCCAAAGGGCCAAATGCTGCACCATGTTTCTCTGCTGGCCCTGGTCCACAATGAGGTAACCTGAAGAAGCTACTTGTCTGTACCAGCATTCATTCTTTGTTAAGTTAGTACTGTATATACAAATTTTAAATTAATCTCATTGCACTTTTTGTTTTTACTTAAAGGGAACTATATATAAATGCTGGCAGTCAGAAGACTGCTTTCTTTTACATTTTTAATTATATCATTTTTTTGTTTCATTAAAAACCATGTCACTAACTACTTTATTTCACTGAAAATATAAGGCTATTTCTACACTGTCTAGTAGAGTGCTGTGTGGAGACACATCTGAGTAGGCTTAGGATTCACTCCAGAACAGGAAGCAAGACAGCTGCAGTAATGCTGCTAAAGACTAAGTTATTCAGCTCTGCTCCTAACTGCTCCAGGCACAGTCATGCTATTCAACCACACTGCTTGGGGGACTCAAGCTACCATTTTTGCAAGATGTTGTGCCATACCGTGCAGAATACCAGCTTGGTCTGACATAGCAAAGGAATACCCATCTGGTGCTAGGTTGGATGATGCAAGTATATGCCATACAAATAGCTCAGAGTACAACATTTGCTGTCACAAGGCACATGACTCACTTGAGCAATCCCGCACGGTGGAACACATAAAGCTCATGAGCAAGTTTGGAAGTACAGAACGGGACAGCTCGAACAAAACTCTGGATCAGGGGGAACTCCGGTATATGATGTGGCACAAGGATGACACAGAAGTCTTTGTCCTGAAAAAGATTTGCAGACAATAAAGGCTCTTAGTGATCTCAATGTAAGCTTTACACAAAAGCTTCTGACTAGAGGGGGTAGAAAAAAACCAAACCGAATGCAGTGCTTACAATATACATGCACTCCAAGTATTGCTCTACCTAGGTGGCTTGATACCTGGGCAGCACAAAGGAACTGATGAGCTCAACATTAAATTGGCTCACCGAAACGGGTCTTTTAGTTCCCAGAGTAAAGACTTATTAGTTAATATCCTGGTATTCCCTAACAGTCCTTTTTTTCCACCCTCCCCTCTTTTCTTCCTCTGTAGAACAGAATATTTCAGTTGGAAGGGACCTACAATGATCATCTAGTCCAACTGCCTAGTAGGAACAGTATTTCTATGCCCACACCTTTAGTGCGAACATTTTCCCTTAAAAGGTCCTTTTTTCTACCTTACTATTCTTCTGTAGTGAAATTTTAGGACAATGTATGTCTGTCTGGGATCTTTTGCACCTTTGCAGCCAAGTGAGACCATCAAGTAGAGCACCATGTCCTAAAATGCTGAACAAACAGCCAGTGCGTATGCACAGATTGACTTCGCACTGCATGCACAGTAGACTTGATAAATGCAAGTTTGTGTATGTGTAATGATGTCCCGCTTGTCCCGAATTTAGCACTGCTGGCGTGCATGTGTTACAGGGTGCATATGCATAAAAGACACACTGTATTGGCAGTCAATGTAATCGTTCAGAGGCCTGTGCTGTAAATGCTGCAGAGGTGCAGAGGAATCTCCATTCAACGCTCTCAGATGAAAGAGAGCATCCTCTGGAGATAAAACTGCACGCCACAAGTAACTTTATCCATTCAAACTGTTCAAGCATTCCCCTCCACCAGAGTCTCTCCCATCCCTTTCTACTGAATACATGTCTTAAGATAATCTCGCTGCACACAGGGCTGTTGGAGAACTCTGACAATTCAGAACCACGCTTCATGCAGCACGATACATGCTGAGAGACTCCCGAGTAGCACAGATCTGGAAGATGTTTAATCAGTTTACTCTGGCTGATTATTCCATGGCATCTTTTCAGTAGAAAGGTATTATTTGATTCTCACTCCTTTTCTTCTCTTTAAGCACACTATGTGATTAATTTTTCTTACTATGCTTGGTGACATTTTGTTTCAAGGTGCATTGTTGGACAGACAAGTTACTTAGAGATTTGAAATGTTTTCTGTTTTTACTTTCTCTAGGAACTTTCTTTGGTTTAAGCAGCATTTTTGAACATGCTGATATTTAAGGCCAAGCCTGGATCTCTGCTCACAAGGACCTGTCTCTAAAGGATGCTACCATGCAGTAATTTGTAGTGTGAATTTACAACTACAGCATGCATTTAGAATGTCTCAGACAGTGGACTCTGTTACCTCAGGTAAAGATTGATCACACAGGCCGTTAGCATGAAATAGCTACTGCACTGTAAATTCACATTCTTATTTGCCACATATTAGCTTTGCCCTAAACATAAACCTTCAGTGCTGCTGTTTAGGATATAGGTAAATGCTATGGATTTCCTTAATGCTGCTGTTTTCTAGGCTTTAACTCCACCTCCTTTAACATATTTTCCCTGATTTTATTTTTAATTTAGGTACAGCCTGGATCTGTACATGATTTTAAAGGAGTTTGAAACATTTGCTTTCTGAATCTGCACCTCAAAAAAGTCCCTACAGAACATAAACAAAGGACTTAGGTAGGCAATTCATCAAGTCCCAAAGCAGCCAAGGAGAGGAGTCAAATTCCTCAGGGTAACTCAGCCCAGGGTAACTAGCCATAGCATACTCCTGCGAGTCACCGACTGACTTGGGCATCATATCTAAATACCGTGGCGAGAACTGCACTACCATCCCATCAGACTACCACCCCCCAATACAAACTTTAAAACTTTAATTATACATACCGGAAAAAGCTTGAAAACATAATGCAAAAAATCCAGTGATCTGCAACCAAGAGTAAACGTTATTAAATAAAGCACATATCAGACAGATTCTGTACATCCCTATATTTCCATCCCCATATGTGCAAGGAACATTAATTCACAGCACTCATCAGACAGTCCTGCTAGTTCATCATTAATCAGCTGCAGATGTTACATGCAGCACATCAGTTGTTGACTTCTAGTGCTTAAAGCATCGCTATTAACAAGCATAAAACTGAGGTTTGAAATAATATCAAAACATTAGGCTTTTCACTGAAAGGAAAAAAAAAAATTGACTCTCATGTTGTTGACTCCAGCATTTTTCAGAAGTCATTCACGGACTGCCAGAGCAGCATTAGTATATAGCAAACATTAATCGACGTTACCAACAGTTGTTGCGATGTTCCACAATATTTTCATCCAGTACCAAGAGCTCTGTCACTATCCATTTGGTAAACCTACCCAACGTACTTTATCAGACTAACAGGAACATCAATACTTTGAAATTGTTTCTGAACACTTTACTTCTTTCCACTTCTCACCTACTGGTTTAGAGTAATTCCGCTCTCTTTTCCATGGTGACAGTGAAACGTGACATTTGAGTTTAACAAGACATGAAAAATCCAACAAATTCTTCCGGATTCTCCTATGTGTAAGGATATCAAAGAGCTCTAAACCCACCAGAGTTATGCTGAAGCTTTATAAAATATTTTTCTACTGTACAAAATGTGTCTTTTGAAGAAATTTAATACAGATATATATTACCTAAAATATTGATAAAACCCCTCCGCCCTCCAGACCTGTAGTTAAGTTCCCTTTAATTACTTCACCAATAATATTACTAAATGAAAAGAAATAATTTCTAATTAAAATATTTATGACTGAATGAAAACTTCAAAAAAGCTATAAATACCGATCTGGATTGGGGTATTATATATTCACCTATAGAATACATAATTATGACTAGTTAATAGAATAGCTAAACGCAGGAAAGGAAAATGCCATTGCAATCTAGTTTTCTATTCTCTGGTATCCAGTCCCTTCTTGGCAGCAAGGAACACAAGAATGGAGGTAAGAGATTTTTCAGGGGGCTTAAAAAGGTATCAAATATCTGCAGATAAACTAGCAATTTCGTTCGTTTGCATTTCACTTTCAATGCACTAACAAGCCACATAACAGCTCTAAATTTAAGAGATGGAAACATTTAGCAGCTTTACTGGGTAACACAAATTCCTCAGGAGTAAACTTTCCTTGCGGGCTAAGATGCAATCATACCTACACTTCAACCAAACCACTACTTCTGGATCCACGCTGTGCAGGGTCAGCAGTAACTCCCTCAGGACAAGATTCCAAGATACAGTCAGGATTACTTCAAGCCATCCTTTCAAACATACTCACTTTTCTAACATTTCTTCTACAAACAGGTGGCTCAAGCAAACGCACACTAAGGAAGCATACAAGTAAAATATTTGAAAACACCAAGATCTACAGATTCCTCAGCTCTGAGAAGAGGATCTTGCATGAGTGTTAATCTTAGGAGAAGTCTTCAGAAAGGAATGCTGTCTTCTACACAGATACCCATCTTGGAATCCAAACTGTTCCAGAGATGTCTCCAGGGAAAAAAGAATGGAACTGCAGCGTTCAATGATAAACACTGTGAACGTATCTTGAACAGAAACAACAATGGTGCATGCGAAGGGCAGAATGTCGGAAGAGGGCAAAAAAAGTGACAGATCCTTATCCTAAGCAGGATGCTACGAGCAGAGAATTCAACTAGTCTACGTCGAGGTTATTTCCTGACATAGCTACAAATCACTGCTTTGAACTGCTATTTCAGTATAACAGTCATTCCTGAGCAAGTCCCTCACCTCAGTATTATTTTAAAATAAAGTTATTTTGTTCTGGAATAATTATCTTGCTTGAATTTTATTTTAGACTAGATTGTCCATAAATTAACTATTCTGGAATGGACTCTCTACAGTGGGATTGCTCTATCGTATGTATGTTGATCACTGTTCCTAAGTACACCACAGACTTCTAGCACTGCATTTCTCCCTCTCCCTAATGAATTCAAGCTATATTACTCGGTAAATATGTACCAAGAAGGCTATGTGTTTGCTTTGCTTTGGTAACTTAAGATATTTGCATTTGTAGCAGATTCACAGTGTTTAACCCCTTTGGGCAGGTCCCCTCCTTAATCAAGAAACAGCTTAATTAATAGAATTATTTTTCAAGGAGTTCTTATTTTTCTTCTTAAACAAGTTTATTCCTAAATTTCCTTTAAGCCAGGTAAGTTCAGATGTTGTCAGTCACCGATGACTACTACTACAAGTAGAAAGATGTTTTTTCAAATGGTACTACAGTTGTTAAACTCATCATCTAGAGAGTCCTTGCTACTGATACCTTGTGTCTCTAGAAATTACACGTATTTTAAATTGTGGAAGATCTTGAGTGTGCTCAGCCTCTTTCTGTCTACTTTTTTTAAGTATCTACATGTTTTAACTTCTTTTCTAGGATCTATAAACAAGAGCAGGTCTCGTTTATGATCAGAAAGGGCCCATGTTCCTGGAGAGGCTTTTGCTGATGTGGTTGAGTACAGGTTCTCTCTTCAAGTGTGCAAAGAAATTTGGAAAAAAAAAAAGTCTAAACCACATTTATAGATCTATGCTACTACACCAGGATCTAAGAGTTCAAGGTCAGCAGCAGCAATCATTTTAAGATAAAAAACCTTTGTCTTCTCCCTACTGTAGTGGATTCTAGAAAACTGAATCAATTCTCTCAGTGATGGGAGACTGAGTGTTTAGAAATTAGAACATTTAACTGCAGAGTTAAAACCAGCTTTATTGCCCCATGAGCAGAGATGACCAGTACCATAACATCTACCTCTTTCCAGAGTTAGCCAGCTTTGGCCTTCTTCCACAATTTCAACTAGTAGTTCTCCAACAAAAATAAATTCTTAACTTTTTGTCCACACAGTCCTACCAGAGATGGGAAGTGGCAGCTGGAGGTTGAAAATTTCAGTAAGTTGTTAGTGAAGGTAAAAAAGAGAAATGAAAAAAAGAGGTCAGAAAAAATCCAACCTAACTACAGCAAGTGCTGTCACTTTCAGATTTGTCCTAAAAATGTAACATTGGAAGTTGTTATTAAGATTAGGAAAGCAGAAACTATTCATCCATACTTACCTAGTTTCATGCTGCTCATCAATACAAAACAGACGGATACAGAACGCATTTGAAGCTCCTTTGTACACTGGATGAAAAGCATCTTCTTCAGTCTCAAGGAGGGGTGTTGCTGAGGCTTTGAAATCTTTGCCTGTGACATCATCTAACAGCAGATCAGTATGGGGAACAGTAATGGCTCCATCTTTCTGCAATAATAATAGACAAATGATCGCTTACAGCGCTTCAGAAAATATTGTCATTTTTTTTAATTAAAAGACCTTGCATCATTCCTATCTTACAGCATTCCAAGCAGTCACACAGGGATGTACTTTTTATTTGTCACATTTTGACAAATACAGAAGTTCAAGGGGCTATTTTTAATGTGATATCTACCTGTTTCTGAAATGCTAGATAAAAGTGGCCTTTAAAAACATATACATTCTTGCTGAAGAGCAATACATTCACAAACTAATAGTTACCATTAGAATCCCTTTGTGAGGCAATAAAATATTTATCTTTCAGAAATGTTTCTACATAAAAATTTTGTTTTCAGATGCATATTGAAAATACCTGAAAGTTAAAAACATGTTAAAGAAAATGGGATCAATGCACAGAATATTGTGGAAATGGAAATGAACAACAACAGGAAGAAAACCAAAGTAGCTTTGATACGGTACTGAGAGAGAGACTAGAGACAGATGCAACCGTTTAACGTTTCTTGGTATAAATTCTCTGCTGATTTATGCCGCACCAACACATTTCACAGTAACATTTTTATCAAGTCAAGCTTCACTCAGCAGAAGAGGCACAGACAGAACATATGCCCTTTAACTTCTATAAATTACAGGGGAAAACTGAAGCTATATTGCTGCTTTTCAGCTTTGGCAGCTTTCCATCAGTAGCAGATTTTTAGCTCAGTAACAGAGTCAAGTCAAAATCTCAGGACCCGCAGATCAGAATAAGACCACTCTCACCCTGTGTTACAGGAACGCTCTCTCACATCAGCAGAGGAGCCCACTTGAAGCTGTGCTTCCACATGCCTTTACTTGGCAGCAGATGTGCACAAACAGGCCCCCATCCTTTTTCTCCTCTCAGTGCCACTTTATTTCCACCCCTGTGCTGTCTGGCTGTTCATGTCGAACCGCATGGGAAAACTCATCTGATTAATACCTATAATAACCACCTCCACCCAGATCCTAGCTAGAACAGCTTCTGATCTATGCACAACAGCAGGTACAAGCGTGGGCCCATTCAGAGGACATTGCAGGAGTGGAAATAATAAGCACTGCTTGTCCTAGTAACCTTTGCTCCAAATTAGCTTTTAAAGCATTGCTGTGTACAGTGGTATTACCTGGACAGCTGCATCCTGATCATGAATATGTTCAAAGTTTCGAGATGAAACAGACTCTGTTTCTTGACTTGTTTGGTTGCTTTTATCTTCATCTGAGTAATGAAAAAGAACAGATGCATCAGGCTTAAAAATGTGAGCGTAACCCTCAGAATCACCGCAATAACTAAAGAGTGCGCCAGACTACCTCTATTGAAAGGTTTATTTTATTTATTTTTAAGGACCACAGTCAAGATAGACCCTCCTATAGTTACTTGGCTAGAACTTCATTAGACTATTTGATCTCAAGGCAAAAATTAGAGAAGTGGTTCTAAAATAAGAATTGAACAAGACACAGTTTGGAAGCAATTCCTAACTCATGTATTATATATAATAAATTTTCACCCCATCTGAAGAGAAAAATATGAGTCATTAGTTTATTGACTGGTATCTTAAACCCTGTGCCCGTTGCTAACTTGTTTTCTGATGATCATCAGCAAGGGCTCTTGATTCTCAGATTAGGTCTCCTAACAGAACTGAAATTCAGAATAAGTCCTAGTCAAGCCAGAACACTTACTTATTGGCGCAAGCAGGGACAAGAAACAGGGATTTAAATTCCCTTCTCAGTTGCTAAACCTAACTAGCTCTCTAAACCCTGTTTTACTTCTTATAAAAGGTTGTTGCTCTTTCATCACTCTTTGTCAATTTGTCTATTTCCTCCCCTCCAATCTAAGAATCTCTGCATGACAGGTCATCTTACCATCCTCAATAACATTATAGTAACATTCTAGTCTAGTTGGTTCCAACCTGAGTAATAATATTTCTGTGGGCAAACAGATAACTAAGGTGATAGGGTGAAATTACTTGTAGCCACCTCATGAATCAATATTAAAACACTGACTGCCATGATACCTACATATACGATGCTATATATACATACACTTTTTTTTATATATGTATACACACACAGCATACATAGAGCGTGTCTCTGGTCAAGTGCTTAAGCCAATTAAAGCAAGCATCTATGTGTTAGGGAGTTTATTTAAATATCACTATAGACTTTTTTTGCTATTCAATCCCCTGGCCAGGGCCAAATTCAGAGTGGATATTTAAAATATTAAGAAGCCACAGTAAAAATGTCCAAAGCAAATTGGGAACATATCACAGAATCACAGAATGGCTGGGGTTGGGGGGGACCTGTGGAGATCATCTAGTCCAACACCCCTAACTAAAGCAGGTTCACTTAGAGCAGGCTGCACAGGATCACGTCCAGGCAGGTTTTGAGTATCTCCAGAGAAGGAGACTCTACAACCTCTCTGGGCAGCCTGTTCCAGTGCTCTGTCACCCTTAAAGTTTTTCCTCATATTCAGATGGAACCTCCTGTGTTTCAGTTTGTGCCCATTGCCCCTTGTCCTGTCACTGGGCACCACTGAAAAGATTCTGGCCCATTCTCCTGACACCTGCCTTTTAAGATATTTGTAAGTGTTGGTAAGATCCCCCTCAGTCTCCTCTTCTTCAGGCTAAACAGACCCAGCTCTCTCAGCCTTTCCGTGTAAGAGAGATGCACCAGTCCACTAATCATCTTCATAGCCCTCCACTGGACTCACTCTCTCCAGTAGCTCCTGGTCTTTCTTGACCTGGGGAGCCCAGAACTGGACACAGTACTCCAGACGTGGCCTCACCGGGGCAGAGCAGAGGGGGAGGATCACCTCCTTCGACCTGCTGGCCACGCTCTCCCTAACGCACCCCAGGACACCACTGCCTTCTTGGCTGCAAGGGCACGTTGCTGGCTCATGGTTAACTTGTCCACCAGGACTCCCACGTCCTTCTCCGCAGAGCTAAGTACATGATGCATTATGTTTCATTTCAGTGACCTAACCATTATCCTATGACAGATCTTAGCAGTTTTACACAGCAACACACAACAGCCCTATAGAACTGTACTGATACCTGACGCGAGCGTGACAGAACCCACTATGAATTTTTCTAACATCATGATGCTTGCTAGAGAGCAGGCAATCGCCATTCCAGCAGATGTTACACACTTTGGGGAAAGCAGTTCCTAAATCTGTACGGTGACGGATTATTTTCATTAAAGTCAATGGAAGGTGAGGGTATTCAGAACGAGAAATCATCTGATAATGCATCATAAAGGTTACATTTAAAGTTAATGTTGTGGACCAAAATTATTTTTACCATCAACTTGGAAAAGAAACGTTGAAATACTAGCAAATACTACATATTACCCCAAACAACCACCAAAATTACTAAAGCAAAGCATCAGATGCTGTATTTTTAGCCCCTGAACATATCTTCAATAGTTCTGCCATTCCTTAAATTGTCACCTCCCTAATTTTACAGGTATGTTCAGGTGGTTTCCTATTTAAAAACAAAGCCTGAAAATAAGTTTTAACTAATAAACTCTTGAAGTGTAGGTATTGCTGCTGCAGAAAACGCATCAGGCCAGGACACCCTTGCATTTGAAAGCTCCAGTAACACAAGGAAGTCAAAGTTTCTGAGCTCCAGGAAGAAGGAAAAAAAACTTCAGAAAACCCAGCACAACAGAATTCTTCACTCCTCTCTCTGAACTTTACCTTGGGAAACCCATCTAAGTTACATTCACTGACATAAGCATTTCTTCATACAGTAATGAGCATTTTAAAAAAACAAAACAAAAAAACACTCAAAGGTTTAAAATAATTTAGCCAAAAGTATTTTTAGAAATCTGTTATCTGAAAATCTGTTTCTCTGTTAGTAGAAAAGAATGCAGATGCAATGTGCAGGGCAAGAAGAAACACAGGGGTTAGAAATCATGGTTTCTCCAGGGGTATCACAGATGTGAGACTTCACAGAAATGATCAAATGTCGTCTTGAGTAACACAGACACATTTCTCATTATAAACAGCCTTGCAGGTGTCAGAAGTTAATTAATACAAGTCTCTTGTTGTCATGTAAATATTGATATGTTATTTCTGACTTTATACAAAAATGAAATCCCTTAATGGCTCCACCATCCACTACTGTCAAATGTAGCTGCATCACTGTTTACATATATGCTGTACACAAGTGACTGGGAAGAACATAAATGTCGTTGCGCTAAACGAAGTAAGGAACATGAACAAAAAGAAAATTAAAATAATTCAGTGATTGCTGGGTTGTTAGCAGAGGTAACAGGCAGCAGGATCAAGAAGCCAGTTCACCATGACGCCTGATGAAAAGCCCTTGAATCATTCCCACTGCATCATAATGTTTTCTAGCTACTAATTCGTGACACCATATAGAGTAACAACCAAATTACTGTAATTACCCTGAAACATAAGTGGCATATCAATATTGTGTTAAAGACAGATTTTTGTACACTCTCACTATTATTCAGTATTACATTT